ACCAAATTTATTTACATAGTTAGCTAAAACAAAATTTATTAAAATTTTATATTAAAACTTAGAGTTTGGAACCGGTTTTATTTATGTTAAATCGGCTTTAATTGGTTTAACATATGAAAAATATGCTGTATGTTTTTAAGTCTCAATCTTTTATATAACCACTTGCTTTTAAACCTAGAATCCATAATCTATTAACCCCTGCTTTGTAAAATTTCACAATATCTTTCAAATTATAATACCGATGCTATCTTTTATAATTATCAGATATCCATCCAGTAAGATGTGGGCGATTGTGATTTATCTCCGTTATCGGCACAGCAAGTGAACGACATTAAAAATCAACGAAGATATCTCGACACCATCCAAGCGAATTCGATGAATTCTTTTTTATTTTAATTCTACAGACTTGTAAAAAAAAAGTTCATCGAATTCGCTTAGATGGCTGTCGAGATATATTCGTTTAAGTTCGGTAAAGGATTAAAAAGTCTAAATAGAGGCAGGGATAAAATTTTTTTGACTTTGAACAAAGATATTCGGTGAACCTTTTTTATCTTACAAGTCAATAGAGCAAAAATAAACAAAAATTCATCGAATTTGCTTAAATAATTGTTGAGATATATTCAGTTAAAGCTTAGTGAAGAATAGCTTAGTGAAGAATTCAAACGTCTATTAAACAGAAGCAGGGATGAAGTTTTTTTAAATTTCAAACGAAGATATCTTAACAGCTATTTAAACTAATTCGATGCAATTTTTAATTTTAAATTCAATAGACTTGTAGAATTAAAATATAAAAAAGTTTCTCGAATCTGCTTGATGGTTGTCTAGATACCTTATTTAAAGTCTTAAAAATTTTTTATTTTGTAGACTTTTAATCCTTTAAACAAACTTTGAACGAAGATATTTCGGCAACAATCTAAGTAAATTCGACGAACTTTTTTTTATTTTAATTTTACAAGTCTGTAGAATTAAAATAAAAAGGAATTCATCGAATTTGCTTGGAAGGTTGTCTAGATACCTTCGTTCAAATTTAAAAAAACTTTGATTTTTAATGTCGATCACTTGCTGTGCCGATAACGGATAAATCACGTGTATGCTGTGTCGTTATAATCAAAGAAAAATTTTATATATATAATTTTTTAAAAAAATAATCTATATGCAATATATTAAAATTTTGAAGTTATTTAGCTGTTCTATTATTTTGAGATATTTGGAAAATTGTTGATAAGATTTTAATATTAGCCAATATTAGTAACTAACTCAGTAACTTATCAATTCGGCTATCAAATTTAAATATCCCAAAAATAATAAACAGCCATAACCCTTTTTTTAAATAGCGTTTTAGCCTAAACCAATGTATTACTGTATTAAAGGATTTGTATACCTAAAATTCTCAGTTGAAATACATCCGAATTAGGGTTTGCAATACTGGTTAGCGTTTTAATAAAATTATTAGCTTTTTACTAAATGAACAACTATGACTTCATTAGTTGAAATTTTTTAGTGATCTTGATTATCTCCTATATTAGAGATATGGTCTATACGGATTGATCACATCCAGTCAATCCAGTCAATCTAGTCAATCTAGTCAATCCAGTCCATACAGTCCATACAGATTCATAAGCTGTATCATTCAGATTTGAATGGATCACATCATTAACGTCCTTTGCTATGCTCCAGGTAGGGTTGGCACATTTATCCATTGGATGAATGGAGAACAATTCCATGGCATTGCTACTTGCTCCATTGAGAATAGTGCCAATGAAAGCCAACCAAATTCATCGACATTGTTCCATTGAGAGCAACTTCCGAATGGAACCAATAGGAGCCAATAATTTTATTAATAATATTAACAGGTTATATTTATTGGATATACTGTGTTAGAAATTAGAGCTATCAGGTTTATTGGCTCTATTGGATTTTTTTATTGACACCATTGATTCTATTGGTACCATTGAGTTTTCATTGGCTTCTTCATTGACTCCAGTGGTTCCATTCGCTCCTACCCTATTGACTTTATTGGCTCCATTACTCCATTGACTCCATTGGCTCCATTGGCTTCATTAGTAATTTTCTCAATGGAGTGTATCCATTGCCAATCCTGAATCGAGGCAATAAATAATTAGCTATATATTTTAGTCATGTTTAGAGATGTACTCCGCGTGGAGATGACAAAATTATCGCGCCCGTGATTAAGAAAACTTTAGTATATGGGTCTTTGCCTTGAAAATCACGTTATGGGACATATGTCCCATAATGTGATTTTCAAGGTAAAGACCCCATATAATCTAAAAGGGGAAGTCTCTGGACTAGGGTTCTCGGCATTAGGGTCCTTGGCATGCCATTGAGTCTAAAGGCATGCCATTAATTACAATAATTTATAATTTATAAAGATGCAGTTTATATTTTTTGAACTTCAGAAAAAAAATTTTTTAACCAATTAAATTAAACAAGCAAATCATCCATGGTATTTGGCATGAAATTTAGAATTTGGTATGCCGAATTTTTATATCGTGCCGAGAACCCTACTCCGGACACTTATCATTCACGTGAATTTGCACTTACCAAACTATTCAGATATCGAACGTACAGAATAATTTGTAAGTGCAAATTCACGTGAATGGTAAGTGTCCGAAAAAAAAAACTACCCGGATAGTAAATATATTTATTAACTTTATCAAAATTTGACCCAGCCGGGTTATAAAAATTAACATTACTTAGCCTTAGCCTTATTTTACGTAATAATATTGTATAATAAACAAGTTACTGCATTTAGTATATATCATGATGATATAAACATAGAATAGACTAATATAATTTCTTATAATTACACTCAAGTGCAATTTTATACCTTCAAATTCCTGTTAAAACTAATAAAAGATAAATTTTCCCACTTAACATAGAAGGGTATAAACTATATATGACTATCTATTATTAGTTTAAAAAGAAGTGTGAAAAAGAACCTTAACAATATTATTTAAAATAAAAAATTATATGTTTAGTTATTATAATATATCATATATCATATAAATTTATTAAAATATTGTATATATAAGGTATATATTATCTGTTATTTTAGATTATTTAAAGTTAACTTATTATTTCTTTTAAACAAATATATACAAGTCAAACTCGTTATACTGAAGATTCAATATAGTGAAGAATTTTGAATTCCAGAATTATTAAAATTCAGTTCGATATAGTGAAGTACATATAGTATTCTCTCGATATAAGTTATAGTGAAGATTTTTTTCCTCAGCCCGATGACTTGAGTTTGACTTGTACCTTTTTTAATATTTTAATCAAACATGTTTGATATAGAGTGTTCTAAAGCACCTTATTCAATAGATCGGAAGCAAAACTTTAATTAGTTGGAAATCGAATAAACTAACTAAGGATGCTCTCAAGTGACTTAATGGGTCGAAATGCATTAAGAATTAAACTTTAGCTAAAGGAAAATTTTTTAAGCGATCAAACGCACTTTTCGTGTAGTTTATTATTTAATCAGTAAGTTAATCATTCCAGGTTAAAGAAACGTTTTGCCTCAAATCATCTTGTGTTTTTTAGCACTGGCATATCAAAACTGTAAATACTTTGTTATCGAAACTAATATATTACAATTATTATGAATTTTTACTCAATAAAAATTTCTAGCAAATAAATTTTAAGATCAATAATTCTTTCAGCGACACATTACGTATATATTATTACTCTTGACAAAATCGATAAATACGTCAATAAGCATTAGAAACAACTGGGTCTATGTTCCTTATTATCTATAATGTGATGACATTTAATCAACCATTTAGAATCGATGAAAGCTGCTCAAGTACTTATTAAGGTTTTTATTTTACTTTATTGTAGCAGTTGAGCATCGTTACAATTATTCGCAAGTCACTGTAAGAACAATATTTAGGCAAGCTCACTATCACTATACTTACTATCGATTTTTATCTATAAGAATAGCTGGTTTTCGCTTTACGGCATTCATATTAAATTTTTAATTAAAAGCCAATTACTGTATTATTATATAGGTATATATATTAATTTCGATAATTTTGGCAAGCGAAAAAAACCTTGGCGAAAATATTAATGTAAATTAGATACGCGTAATTTAGACGCTCGTGTGTATAGTTGCATAGTTGACCTTCGAGAATGCGATCACATTGTAATATAAACATAATATGGGTGTGCAAGAGTGAAAGAAGTAAAAGATTTTCACTGTAGCCCAAAAGAATTATGGTTGTATTTTAATATTTACTCTATTGGGCTTGGTTGAATAATTAGCGTTTCTAGCGTGATTTTGTGTGTCTGCCTTTACTAAAAGATGGGCCAACCCAAGAGGTGAATTCGTCCTTTATGCGCGCTTCAGTGAAAATCTTTTAAATTAGTATAGGATCGTAGTTTTTTTCTTCTAATTTTATCATCTAGGTTGTCTTCAGTACCTACGTCCTCAACTCGTCTTGTGGCTTGACACTATTTGATTTGTCTATAGTGATTAAAGAGTGCTATTCTATATATATAGAGTTTATTACATATTATGAATCTATGCTGATCGTTTTGGGCGTAAATTTTTGTTTACTCACTCCATAATGTATTTTTAATACATTAATATACATTATTATTCAAAGATATTACTGTATGATACAATTTTTTTTATTTAATATTGAAAATATTGAAAATATGTATTTAATGAATGAATAGAAATAATTTCACTCAAATTGCAATAAAAAAAAAAATGAAATAAAATTTTGCAATCTTTTTTTAAAAATATTTCTACTATATGAATAACTATATTAATACATTTATTTTAAAACACTAACCCATATTACCCATATTAATAAATTTAATTTTATAATAAATAGAATGTGAATTTTTGTCAGGTTGGTTGGTCGTAATATCTAACTTTTTCTATAAATTATCCTTAGAAAAGTTAGGAAATTCGTATTGTCCCAATTTAGTGTAAAGTTGATGATCATCCTGAACATACACAAATTAATTGATCATTCCAAAACTTGGATGTAATTACTAGGAAACAATCCTCTCTTCTTTCTACTATCATCAAGTAATTCGCCTTCCCACCATCCATCAGGATTTATACCCAATACTGCAATCACGTCATTCGCTAGAAATGGTATTTCTTCCGCTGATGTAGTTTTATAATCATATAAAGCTTTCACTATTTCATAAAGTAAATGTGAGTTAATAAAAAAAATTTTTTTTAAATCAATTTTTAACACCTATTACATTGTAACTTAGTCTCTATTCATTAAAATGGTTTGAATGAATAGGTTACAATAACATGGTGTTAAATTTAATGTTTAAATTTTTTAAAAAATAGCTCAAATTAAATACCTAAAAATAAAACTTGTTTACCATCATCCATACGTTGTACTCCTGTGCCATTAGGTCGCTGAGCTGCAAACGTACTATTATTACTATATCCCTGCGGTGGTGGTTGTCTTGGATCATAAGAAGGAATATTATTATAAAATCCTGAATTCTGATACATTTGTTGAGGATATTGTGGTCTCATTCGAGTACTAATATTTCTTGTAACACTAGTTGATGAACCAGGTGATGATACTCTAGGATCTTGTGAACTATTATTCATTGCTAATTGATTCTGGGTGGGCATATGTGTTGTAGGCATTCCCCGTCCGTATGGAATTGTATTTGATGGAATGGTATTATATGGTGATCCACCTGGGTGCATTTGTTGTTGATAATGCATATTTTGCGGGGGAATTCTATTATCGTAATATGCTTCAGCCATATCGTCTTGTTTAACACGTCCACGCGCATCAAGCTGAATCCCAATAGAATTATTACTATTAGAGCTAGATGCGGTTCGTAATGTACTTGATCTTGAAACATGGTCATTTATAAGTGAATTTTTACGTGGAGGAATCGTACTTGATCTTGAAACTTGTTCACTTATAGGAATATTAGGATTTGGTGATTGGAAATATCTACGTGCATCACCTGGACCTTGAATATTTGGTTGTGATGAACCTGAACCAATACCAGGTGTTGATGATTGACGTCGCAAATCACCCGGACCAGAAGTAAGTGGTTTTGGGGAATTTTGTGAAGAAGAGATACCTTCAAGTGCTCGCATAGATTCCTGTCTATGGGCTTGAATTTCTTGATGTTGAATATTTGTAAGAAGTGGTGAACCAGCCTCAGGAGATTGTGTAGTGGCTTGCAGAGGAATCGAATTTGAGTCATCAGGTATAGTTGGTTGAGATTCTATTGTTTTTGTTATTGGAGATGAAGAATTCGGTTTGAAATTATTTTCTAACATTTCTTCTTTTTCCTCATCCGCCTTTTCCTCCTCATTTTCTTTTTCCTCCTTATTTTCCTTAACATCCTCATTTTCCTTTTCCTCCTCATCCACCTTTCCATATTCATCCGCCTTTTCTTTATTTTGTATATCATCTAAAGCCTTTTCAACAGACCGTTCAATATTTGATATATTATTTGAATTTTCATTAGTGGCTTGTACTTCAAGCAGATTGCTGCCAACTGCAAGTATTGTTTGTTGTCCTGGATCGATAGGATCAGGCTCTTCTACTTCCTCAATGGGAGTTCGTGGAAGTGCAGAATTTTTAATTGTGCCATGTGGTGACGCAGATGAAGTATTTGCGTACATATAAGCCCTATTACTTTTTTCAAAAGGAAGAAAGTTGTATAGGCTTTTATAATTCATACCATTATCCTGCGAAGACTGACTTGAATTAGCTGGTGATATCAAGTTATGACTGGAGTTTTGCATGGGTTGAGAATTTCCCATAGGTTGATCAGTGCCTGGAGGTAATATATTATTTTTACGTTCTATAGAAGTTCTTTCATAAGATGCTCTTCGATAACGAGTTCCATTTTCACCTGAACCGGCATAAAAATTCACGTAGCTTGGTGGATCTAGTTTATAAAATAAAAACAAAAAAGTCTATAATCATAACAAAAAATATTAAGAAATCTAATATCATATTGTTGCATTGTTGAATACCTGGTATGTCCGGTCCCGTGGCGCGCTCTTTAATAAAAGTTTGAATATCTTTATCAGCATTACAATTTTCCAAACTCAATCTAATTCGTTCACAGGACTTTAAATAAATGAAGCATAAATATTAAGGTCATTCAATAAATAAGGTAAATGAGACATAAATTTAAAATAACAAACCTCATCATCAACCACGCAAATAGATGATATGAGGTTCGCATAGTTCCACAACTCTTTTTTCAAAAAATCAATTCGGTCTTCCTCTAAATATTGGAATTTCTTAAACAGACAAAAATTAATTACATAAATACGTCAATCTTAAAAAATATTATAAAAATGTAAATACAGTCATTATATACTATTAGTCTGAAAATTAATTGTTTCTCATAATCCTGCCAGATCAGTTTTGTATTTATTGGAAATTTCCGAGTAGGTTTTTTTTTTTAAATAATAATAATAATAATAATATGGTTTATATATTTTTCTAGATAAAATATAAAATAACTTTTGAAAGAGTGAGACACTTTCAAAATTTATGAGAAACAATTAATTAACTTAAAGTAGCTTTATGTATATAACGAATTTATAATAAATTTTCAAATTTAAAATCTGTTACATTACTTATCCGTTATATACATTATATAGTCCGTTACGTTCATAATCGACTGTATACTTACTTCACAGGCTAATCTCCAATCTTCGTTCCACCTCTGGGTTGCATCAGCAGCGATCTTAACCATTTGTATATATTCTTGATCTATGTAAAATTAAATCATTAAAACTAAATCAAATATAATATTAAAAATTTTGCAAGAAATATTTACCAGCAGCTTTTGCTGCCAACTGAGTTCTTTCAATTTTTGAATTTAACTAATAGAATATACGTATAAGGATGCAAAAATTAGTTGTTGTACTAAATAACTCGGCTATAATTTAAAAGTTACCTTTTCCAAATCTTTTCCTACGGCTGTTTTCTTAGATTCAAATAATCCTGGTAGCTTTAAGCACTCTGATTCATATTTTTCCCTTGCCTATAAATAAATAATATCGATTAATAATAATGATAATAATAATAATAAATAATAATAAAAATAGTAATAATAATAGCCATATATAGTATCAAATAATATATTTCTAAAAATAAATCCAGACCTTTTGGGCAAAAGAAACTTGAGTTTGTTTATTTCTTAAACTTGTCTCTACAGTATTTTGTTGCTATTATATAATATAATTTTACTTAAATCGAAGCCATCATTTTAATTAAAAAATTAAGGTTAAAATATAATCACACCATTTTCCTCTTTTCCCTTTGCTTTACAATAAAATCCGTCAACTCTTGTTCAAGTTCAGCTCTTATTTTCTGAGAAAGACCAATATGTTCTTTAGCTGTTGTCTCCAATTCTTGTCGAACAGTTTCTAAAACATCATGCAATGTCCTTTTATTTTAAATAACAATAAATTAGAATATAATAGTAATGCAATAATGAAATTCCGATCGAAAAAGTTCATTACCCAACTTCGTCTTTTCCAAATGGAATTTTAGATAATTTTGATAATCGCTTAGCATACTCTTCTTCAATTAATGCTCTATAATTGAACATTTGTTAAGGCATGTATATTTATGTATATTATTCCAATTAAAGATAAGATCATATTCTTTAACGCAACCTTTCATGAAACAAATTCTTTATTTCTTCGCATGTCTGCTTTGCTTGTTTTAGACGTGTGGTAAGTACCTCAAAACCAGCATCGTCTTTACCCTAAATTTAAATAAATAAAATGAGTAAATATTTAATAATCAAGAACAATAAAATCAAATATTGTTTAAACTCACCCAAAAACAATTTGCAAATATGTTTTTTTGACGTTCTGCGTCGTTCGCATTCTGAGAGATGCTCGACATAACTAAGTAAATATGATTCGTAGCTCGGACTTTAAATGAATGAATAATTCAATGCAAAATTTTAATTTGCAAAATCCAACAGGGGTAATATAAACAATTTGGTATCAGTGAGAAAATTGGACCAGTTCAAATGCGTAAAGAATAAACCAATTTTTACATTCGCACATTTTGTTATTAACCATTTGTTGTACAAAAATCGTAACGCATTTGAACTTCATTGAACATCATTTTAGTCACGTGATATACCATGTTTCATTATTTAGATTTCTGAACTTTATGATTATCCGAGCCAAAAAAAAATAATGGTACCTCCAAACAAACTAAAAATAAAGTTGATCGTGTAAAAAAAAAAAAAAAAAGAAAAGAAAAAGAAAAAAAAAAATGGAGTGTGTTTTCTGTACACGATAAATGGGATTCCATCAGAACTTGTATCCGCAAATAAAAAATAAATAAATACAAAATAAATAACTGTCTTTGTTATAATTTAGCAATACGTGGGATGATTCATTACGATAAAATTCTTTATTCCAGTCATCACCGAGGTGGTAAAAGTTGTTGTCGTGATAAAAATATTGATCGCCAACTGTTCCAATGGCTTCTATATTGGGACGCAGAAGAAAATCATTTTAGATGCCGTGCGACGATAAATAATATCGATATGCTACTTCAATATTTAGAAATATTTGACTATTGCTATTAACTTTACAAGACTATTGGGCCATTAATGGTCACATTGCCAATTTTCGATATTGAATACAGAAGTTTATCTGGTTACATAATTTAATTAATTGGCTTCTAAGTCCCAATAGGGACTTGGAAATTAAATGATGCAACCAGAAATGGTGAACATTGGTATCAAATACCAATAATGGTTTTATCCGAAAGATAATGGAATAATATTCAATAAGTACAATACCTGATAACTATTAAATATTGATATGTACAAATTTATAACGATAAATGCTTATTTCGGTCTCGACCAAAAAAATTAAATATTTAATATATTATAGTTATCAATTAGCGTTTCGCAAAATGAGTACGTACGTACGTACCTGTCATGATTGGTTACCGAATAAAGTAACAAAAAAAAAGTTATTTGTAGATTTATATTTGATTAAAGTCTACGTAGAATAAAGCAATTTCCCGGATTTGGAACCATTTGCAATAACAGAATAATGAATGTTGGTTGTGCTTATTGGTCAAATGAGTGATGATGTATCATACAAAATTGTCGATCATAAATAAGCATTCCCGTGACGGTGGATCAGAAATTTTAAACAATCACTTGCGACTATTAAAGTGAAATACGGTAATTACCTTTGAAGATGATATGCATGGCAAAATAGATTCGTGATCGCCTGTAAATGGAGAGAAAACGCATTCCGAACTTTTATTTCCAAAGAAAAAAGCAATATAGATTATCATGTAAGTTTATTAATATAATGCTAGCATCTTAACAGCCCCATAAAAAAAAAAAAAAATAGTAAAAAATGTAGCTACTTCATAATTAAATTTCAGAATCAATAACGAAACTTTTTTAGTAATAACAAATTACTATTGCCATGCACAGATTATCGTTATTGCGCTTCGGAGCTTTAACTATGACGTAAGCTACATTTTTTGTGGGCGGTGCTAGGGCTGCTCTAGTATCTTTCTTATCGAATACAATATTGGAATCCTATCGACTAGTACTAGTGATGCGGTAGAATCGTCCCCGTAACTTGCCGTAACCTGCTGTAATTATAGTAAGTAATATAGTAAGTTACGGCATTATAGCTGTAACTTACCATATTACTATAACTGATAATTACAGCAGGTTACGGCAAGTTACGATAATCATTAGGACGATTCTCCGCATCTTTACCATATCAAAAAATTATTTTTACCAAATAAAAAATCACGTGGTCGTGAAGACTTAAATACATTTATTCTCTGCTTCTTATTTATACTTCTATACTATTTTTCGCGCATATTACCTGGATTTCAATTCGGGTTAATTCAGTTTTTATATTATTTTTAACTATCCCTTACACCGTCTTACAGTTGACAAATGCACTTTTCTAGGCAGATCATATGTAAATTGCAATTTAAAGGCATATAGTGTCATAAACAAACTGAATCACCATTCGAGGGCTTTCTGCCAATGTCATTTTTGGCAATGCGTAAACCTTGTGCTCTTCGAATTCTTCACCTACCTTTTGGGGGCCTTCAATATCGGAGATAATCATCAGAACTTAATCCGCATCGGACTTAGTATATTGGGTCAAGCTCGTGATATTTGACTAAGATGATTGGGTATCTAGACGGTGTAAGGGATACCTTTTTTTTTAATACTTTTTAATGATAACTCAGAGCGCTCTCAAGAGGTATTACGATAATATGATAGTATAGTCGGTCAAAGGAGTATACTATATAGTATTATATGGAATGATATTATTATTTATTGAAAACTTATACATTAAGTATAAATTTAAAATATATTATTCATTCCGTATAATTTTGATAAAAAAAAACTATAAAAACTATATAAAAAACTATACATTTAATATAATGCACAGTAAAAAACTATACATTTAATATAATGCATAGTATATAATAAACTATACATTTAATATAATGTATACGTAGTAATAAACTATACATTTAATACAGTGTAATGCATACTTGAAATAAATAACTTAGACTAATAAGATTACTAGCACATTACACGGAAATCTGGGAATCGGGAATAATTAATTTTTATTCTAACATTATTATTATTATTTTTCAAGCTTTTAACGAAGATACCTTAATAACGACTTGATTAATTTAAATGTTTAAGGCTATTATCGAATCCTATTGATTTATAGAATTTGAAAATGGCTTCGTTCAAGATTTGAGAATACTGTTAAAAAAATTTTAAAAATTTTTTATTGTTTGGTTAACAAAACAAAAGATCTAATATAATAATACTAGAAAATTAGTTTCAAAGAGAATCTTTGAAATATTATGCTTGGTGACAATTTGGGAATTTGTGCGATGGGAATAAATTGAAAAGCGCAGTAATAAAAAAAAAAAAAAAAAAAACAATTATGCATAAATAAAATTGCTTGCATTCCAAATTAGTACGTATGAATTGCATAACGATAAATTGACAGAATTCTAAATAATTTGAGTTCAATTTAATAGGTACAGTAGCCAACAAAAGTAACACCCGATTTTACTCAAAATGTAAATTTTTTTTATTAATAAAAATTTAACCGCACATACATCATTTTTTTTATTTTTTTATTTAATACTTTGATGAATGACCATCTACAGTTGCAATAGCCTCAGTTCTTTGTGTCATTGAGTCTGAAACTGCATGAAGAACTGACGTATCCAAATTTGACCATGCCTCCATTAGAGCCACCTTAAGCGCAGGTTTATCATGGGGGAAGTCATCACGATTCTGAATATTGTTCTTCATGATCCTCCAAATATTTTCTATGGGGTTTAGGTCAGGGATCGTGAAGGCCAACTCATATACTGTAATCTATTTTTTTTGATTTTAACCAATTTGACACCTTGTGAACAGGGGCATTATCATGCTGAAAAATTGGATAGGAGTCAAGCAACGAACAAGCAGCGACTATAAATAGTATGAGGTGGTCGTCTAAAACCTTGGTATAAATTTTTTTAGTAATTTTTTCCTTGGGGCCTTTGTAATTATCAAAAAAACCATGAGTCCTTTAATCGTATTCACATAACACGACCAAACCATTACTGAGACCCTTCCACTCTTAAAATTCAGTTGCAAACACTCATGTTTGTATCGTTCATCCGCGCATCGCCATACTCGAACTTGGCGGGATTGTTTACTGACTTCCACACTCATTTCATTAGAAAAAATAATATGCTGCCAAAAATAAGCGTTCTTAACTTTATATTGGTCACACCAATCTTTTCGTCTATCTATATTGCTTGGTGACAAGAAAGGTTTCAAGGCAGCAACACAGAAATGAAGCCCAGCGTCGTGTAAGGTTCTAGCTACAGTTTGCACACTGCATTGAAGGTTTAAATCCTTCACAATTTTTTGAGCAGGGGCACGTGTCTTTCCTTCAACACTTTTTTTACTATGGCGGTTTTTCCTTGCTTCTTTAGGGCGGGGGAACATCCGGACCGAGGTAAATTTGCTATTTTTTTGGTCCTCTTGTACTTCGCTAAGAACCTTCGAATTGTCGTTGGGGCACGTTTTAGCTTTTTGGCAACTTGCTTAGCACTCATTGTATTGATATAAGCAAGGACCATTCCTTTCTCTTTTTCATTCATTTGTTTGCACAGCATTTTCATTAAAAAAAAATTATTTGAGTCCTTGGGCCTTTTGTTCAGACATAAAAGAAGCAAAAAATAAAAAAAAATTGCCCCAAATTACGTATGTATGGGGTAAAAATAGCCCCCTTATTTGCCTACATGAGATGATCTGCAAATCAGGTGTTACTTTTGTTGGCTACTGTATCACTATATTGATTTAAAATTGACTCAGAATTAATTAATAATTTTTGTTTTGAATAGAAGTAAACCGGGTGATCTTATCACCAGGTATATTGATAAACAAATTTGTAAATTAAAATCACGTGACTCGTATAAATTAGACGATCCCTGCACATAGGGAAATTGAAATTTTTTGGGTCTAAATTAGAAGTCCCAATGTATTTTTTGATTTTTTGATATAAAAGTTACGGCGTGGCATAACTTTTTATTAAGCCGTAACTCAATTTACCGTATCTCAAAAATTCATTGGGACTTCAATGGGACGATTCACCACATCACTAGTCTAAATGAATTAATTTTTCTTTATAAGTAAGAGGCATTACAGATTTAATTAATGTCTTTGTCCCAATAACAATCTTTAGCGGTTTCAATGGTTGTATTTAATGAATCTTGAAAAACTTTAATACAGAAATAATAATATTCTTGTATAATAAATAAGGGACATTGCTTTCAAATGCATTATATAATAAATTTACAGTATAGAGTGA